CATTTTTGAAAATGCATAAGAGATGCTGCTCGTTTTCCTTACCCTTGAAGCGTCGGTGTTCTGAACTAGCTAGACGCAAACTACAATTGATTAAACATTTTTTTCCATTTAACAAGAAATTATAAAAGCCTGTTTGAAGTAAAATATAAACATGTATTTTGCATAAACGTTGCTATTCATTCAACGATTGGTCAGTTGCTCGTAGTGAGATCCTCTGTGCGCATTTATAACAATAGCTACATGTATATAGGGCAAACAAAGGTTTATCGGTGAAGATGATTATGCACATTTTTTACCAGCGAATCGGTCACTAGTGAGCTCTAATTTTCGCCGAAAAGTATAAGATATATTTTTATTTTAACACCCCCTCCTTTAGCCACCCCTTTTCTGTTGAAAATCAAGAAAGTCTTTCAGAAAGTCTGGAAACATTTATTCAAAAGAAACAGGCTATAGCAATATCATGTTTACTGGCAATTTTATTTATAAAACCGGTTCTACCCTATAACCTTTGAATAGATCAACCTAAACCACGTGTCTTTAATTTAAATCACAATAACATTAGTAGGGGGTGTGTCAACGCTTCTTGAACAAATTTCAAACGATGGAAATTTGAAGTTTAAATAGTAATTAATTATTGTAATTATCGATGAAGATGATCATTCATCATTTATTTTAAATCTATAATCCCTCAAAACGACTAACTTACAATGTTTTAAGGGAACTATTTTTGCGGAGTAAAAATTAAAATCTTAATAAAAAAATACTTTTAAGGTGTAATAAATTAAAATAAATATTTTCCGATAAGAAACATGATTAAAACAATTATTAATACAACTTTTAATCTGTTACAATTTTTTTTTAAAATCTTGTAAAACAGGCGTTAACATATGTGTATGTGGGAGCGTAGCGGGAACGACAACTCTGGATAGAGAAGTACGTTCCGCCATTGCTATAATACTTTCTCTTCATATAAAAAGTCATCTTTGACTAAAGTGCAGATCGGTAACTTAAGTCTGGATGTATAAAAGAACGAAGGAAAATGTTTTAAAATATCCTCATGCACAGGCATGCGTACAGCATATGTTTATTGTATGCATGGATATGCATATAATAAAATTTTGATAAGAACATGACACACAGATGATACAAATATGAAACTCATTTAAATATGAGGATCATATGTACATGAATTAGGTAAGTTTTAAAGGGACCTATTTAGATTCCTTTCTGTTATAAAAATATTCATGATGCATATACAAATGTACAGGTATATTGTATGTTTATCTTAAATCAATTTTTAGGGATTTTTTTACCGTGCATTGTGAAATAAATCATTAGATAATAATTCAATATACCAAATCGGATACTTCATTGCAACATGTCTTTCATGTCTTGTATAATTATTGGAGGATTAGAAACATTATCCCCTACCATACCTAGGAAACAGGATAAATACAGCCTAATATATTCTAATTTCTGCGATATGACAAATGAGATTTTTGTACTCTTTCACTCTTCAAGAGTTGTGTTTTGATTGTTTGATCATTAAAAAAAATGAATTTAAAAAAAATACTTTTGAGATACACAGAGAAAAGAAAATACTACAATTGAAATTGAAATGACTCAGAAGAAAACCCTAGTCCGAGGCTCGTTATGTGCATCGCTTCAACTCGCAAATTTCTACTCAACACCAAATGGATTATATCCATTGCATGCTAATGACTTTGTAGCGAGGAATGTTATATTATATGCATGCGTATCAATGTATAATTTCATTAAAGTCAATGTGTTAGTTTCGTAGATGTACTTATGATTGAGGAATTGTTTAAATATTATAATTGATCCAATTATCAGATCAATTGAACTACCGAAAAAGAAATGATTTTCCTTCCCAGGAGTTCCAGATACATTATTTTTGATTGATTCAAATTGCATTTAATTAATCCTTGAAAAAATGTTTTTTTTTTTCTTTTTTGTTCAATATACTTTGCTATATTTCAGGGATTTATTATTTATGTCATTACAAATCAAAATCAGATAAAAAATATATATCAACCCGCGCATCCATTTTTTGTTTGTGGTAAGTGTTTTATTCAAATGAAAGTCCCTACTTGGTCTTTAACATACATTTTCTTTCATTATTAATAACTTTATCATCCTTATGGCCTGTAGTTTTAGATAGAAAATGAAAATTTCCTGTCAATATTCCCTAACACGAAAAAAATCATGGTTCTAATGAATATATCCTTACCTTAAATTTCAAAAAAAATATTTCAATAATTAAATTCTTCACGATAGAACATATTTGACTTTAAGGGGCATTATCTCTCTGCTCCAAATTACACGAATTTTTTTTTAAATCCAGTCATTGATTTTCAGCAACAACTATAGCATTAAATTCAAATGGAAATAGTTTGAAGTATGAAGCGTTGCTTATTTTGTCAGTAATGAATAATATGTCAAATCATGATGTGAAGAAAATTTGATATGGCAAATAGAATGATTAATTATTTTTTATATCACAATTAAATTAGAAATATGAGGTATATATCAAAATAATATTTACTCTCATACACTGTACCTATCTAATCCCCATTAGGAAACATACTGAAGCACTGCTTTTTAAATCAGAATAACAAATTGTTTTCTGTGCATGTAAAAAAAAATACGCATCCATAAAGAAGAGTTATCGTTCCATTATTGCCCTTGAAAATATTTTTTAATGAAACAAAATATTAATTTTATGTTTATAATCAATTCTGCATCTGAAATTTCTGTACAATATAAAGAATAATACTTTAAGAGAAGGAGATTTCTCAATTTACACTGTTTAAAGGAACTGAGCATAAATGTTTTAAGTATACTATAATAAATAATTAATAAATATGCTAGCAGTAGTAACTAGAAATCAATATTTGTACACTAGAATAGGTTTGCTTGAGTTGACTATAAAATGGTCCTTGTGAATGAAACTTGTTAACTCTGACATGACAATTCACTGAATTTCATGACAAAATGTCTGAATAAAGTTATCTCTCTTATTAGAAGAGTTATCTCTCTTACCAGAGGGATATCCCACCTTAACTTGTATTTTAAACAGTACAGGAATCTTATAATGATAGATCCGAATAAAATACACATTTGCGAAATTATTTTGTAAATTAAAAAAAAATGTTTTAATGTGTGTTGATTTCTATTTCCTCCTACAAAATCATTCTCAATTTGAAATAAAAAGATCTATACCAAATTACATGTAAAATAAAATGAAGAAGATATAGGACGTAACTGACTTATGTTTTTCCGTCAAGAAAATCGGTGCACTTTATTGTTCTAATCGATCATCTGAAATATATACCTGTCTCTAAAATTTGTTTATGCAAATATTATTACGATTTCTTTTCCTTTCTTTCTTTCCATCCTTTCTTACATTGTTATAGGAGGTAATCATTTTAAAACGAATTGAGGTCAACTCAATGATATTTGTGAGGAAAAAAAGGAAGAGAAACTCGGTAACGCCTAGATTTCACCAAATCCCTCGCAACACACGAAAACTGAATCTAATTAAGAAAATGTAGAAACGGTACATTTATCAACTATTTTTTAAAAGTAATTATCCTTATACAGTTGTGCTTGTGAATTGGGGAGAAATTATAAAAATGGTAGATACACCTTAGTTCTCACGTACATACCACTTCCTACCCGACTTTATAAAAACCTCTTTTTTTTTATATATTTATCATACTGGGACTTAATATCCTTGCATGAATGGTTAAACTGATTAAATTGTTTACTTTTTGATCATTTAAAACACAACATCTTGCAGTTTGACACGTATACGTCTTCTCTTGTATTAGACTCCCCACGGTGTATTAAGATAAAAGAATATATTTAATTTCGATGTAGATATTGACAGATGTGCATTATACCACAGTTTAGTAAATTATGTTTCATGGCCGGATCATTGTTTAGAATTTCCAAACAACTTTCTCTTAGTAATATTCATAAATGATCACAACCAAATTCAAGCTGAAACAATTTCTTCATTTTAATGATTTATTTTTGTAAAATTATTGTACATTTGAGAGGAAACTAAAAGTTTCATTGAATCATATTTCAGTATTTTAAGTTAATTTCATTTCCTGCATATTTTGTATAAATGGTATTTGAAGCTCGTGAAATTCATGATTTTTAAGGACGGTAAATCAGTTTATCAAATTAATCATACTTACTACCACGTGTATACAAGGTAGTTTTATATGTTAACACCCTTCCCCGCAGTCACGCATTTTAACGCAATACCATTTCCTATTTCTAACGCAAAATCATGCATTTACCGTTTCCCCGCAATCACGCATTTTCACGCACTTTAAAAAGTTCATTTAATCTTTAATTTATTGCCAAATTTCAACTATTTTATACTTGCTTGAGACTCATAAAATAAGAAAAGTTATTTTCTAATTTAAATATTATTTCAGAATATTATTTACGATAAACTTTAGAGAAATTTGTACCCCGCTATAAAGTGCTTGCGGGGAAATGGTAAAGTAATATTTCTATGATGCGAGGATTGAATGTATGTTGCATACCAATTCTGTAAGTTGTAAAGAGTTAAGATACAAATTTGATTGTACATATAAAGGAATAGAAATTAATGTGCCCTCGACTTTTTATCTATTTATGTTCAATTTGTCGATTTTTAGCAATTTATATATATTGATAACTAAGGACATAATTACTGTATTTGCATATTTATATATAATTTTTATTTAATTTGTGTTTTCTAAGGACGTTAATGGTTACGCATCATTATCATGAACAAATCTGAAACAAAACAGTTCTGCTAAACAAGGGAATTCCAATATATATCATGCATCGGTAGTGTATAATGCGATCATGAATGAATATAAACAAAGCGATGCATGCCTTAGTTGCCCTAAACATAACTTTCCTGTCCTGTTGTAGGAAGCTAGATAAATTTTAGAAACCGGATGTTTTGTTAATGTATAAACAACTAAAAAACTCCTTATCGTGACGCTGTATTTTATTACATACCGAACTATCATCCCCCGCGCGATCAATCTGACCTTGTCTCAAGGTGACGCAGATCGATTATGTCGTCTGCATACGTGCGTCTTTCTATGTAGCTCGAAAAATTCCGGAAAAAATTGATTAATATTGTATTGAGCTGAGCGAAAGGCGAAGAGGAAAATCAGTGGTAATAAGGAATTGTTAGCGACTGACTTGGTGGGGTAAGTTTTTATTAGTTTCATATAATTAAAATTAAATTTCATTAATTTATGAAGCAAATAATAATTAAAAAGAAAAGAACAACAATCGTAACGTTTTCTTGTAAAAAAAAAAAAGTGGTTTTTTTTTGTGAATTTTAACAAAGCTGGTAGATTGGTTCTTAAATGATTCTTTTTTTTTAGATTGTAATTGGTTCATGAAATAAAGTACCTAAAAGATTTATCATTTCTATTTCTCTTGCTTATATAATTATCCATTTGATTTTCTTTTGTTCAAAAAAGATAATATATTTAAATAAATATATAAAAGTATTTTAACTGCTTATATTTTAAAAAATGTGCTTAGTTGCTATAAAATCACTAAACAGGAAGTAAAATCGTGTAGTAGGCAAACTTTGTTTCCTTAAACATAAAGAGTCATTTAAGGAGTATTTTTTTTACAATATACACTACAAAGTTTTTTTTCAAGATTTTACATTAGTTATCAATTATATTGATACGTATATTTCATAAAGAATCCTATATATAGATATTTTTTAAATTACATTTAAAAGGGCCATTTCTGTTTACTTCCTTTGGTGGATTTATGCTCAGTAATGAAATGAAATATGTTGAGATAACGTGCATTCAAGATCAAAGGTCTAGTAAGCAATGCAAAATAGAAGCGGAGCAAACACGGACCTCTTAAACATCAGGGGTGGGATCAGGTGCCATGGAGGAGTGAGCATTCCCTGCCGACCGGTCACATCCGCAGTGTTATCCTTGTCATGATCGGCAAATAACAGAGAAATCCGTCGACAGTCCAGTATGTACATGTATATAAGGAACTAACAATTAGTATGATAAACGTCAGTCAGCATTTGACTCAGTGACAAGTATATTTCCTGACAATGTTATTTTATCGACCATTGAACCTTCTAAATGATGACTTTAAACAAAACTGCTGATAATTTTGGTTCACCAACATGTTTGTTAATAACCTACCTCATTTCAGGTCAAACGTGCTTAAATACCCCATTTCGTCTCTCAAGGTAAATACCATTTGACAACCTAGAAGTGCAACGATTTTCAGGCCATATTTCGGAAGAAACCATGCTTCTACCTTGGGATGTTTTTAGGCATCATCTCAAAAATCACCATGGCGTAAGTATCACACAGAACACAGAATTTTAATTAAAGAATACCAAAAAGTGTATTTAGAGACAACAATGCTACTCAGAACAATAATACAACAGTCTCGTCTTCATAGAGCAATATTATGGAGAATGTAGCGTTGAAACAATGAATACAGTAATATACGTAGAATGCAACAATATTATTTGTAATACAAAAAACAATACAACAAATTAATGTAAGCTACCAATATTTTTAATTATAACAATGTCATTAAGAACTGTGGAGTTGCAGATTGTTAAAAGAGAATTTTGCCGTTAGGCAGCCTCCCTGAATAAAAGTTTCCTAACAACATGTTTTTTAGAGGATATGTTTAATGTTATCTAATCTTTCGGCGTCCCTTCCATTAATCATTATAATAGACTCCACAATTTACTTAGGGATAGTTTGAGTTTAATAGAAAAGAACGTGTTACCGGAAAGGGGATTTGGGGAGGGAAATTTATATGTATTTTATTACGTGCAAGGAATTAAATAGAGCATTATGGACACAATGTCGACTTAATGTTATCCAACATAGGGACGCTGAAATAGTAAATAGTGGTGGTTGTTAAAAACAATGTATACATATGTTTCATGAATAAAAAGATAGAATACACTTTAAAAGCATTGTATCAGAAAATATCGCGCACAGTATATACCCAAACGACATATTGGTATGTGGATTGTTTAGTTTATAGTAGATATAGTTACGTATGTCAATGATCAATAAATGACAAATACGTGTGAACTGTAGAAATACTTTACTTTCTTGTTGAATGCACAATTTAACCTTCTTAAAATATTCTCCATTTAAACTGTACTCATAGAGCGCTTATCATTGAAAAGAAAAATCACCGCTCTGTTATGCATTTGTGCTTGTTGCAGTAAATGCAACGAAAACGCCTAAACGAGGATACCAGAAATAATTGAATTAATACATGTTTATTTTTAAATTATGAAACAGAAGTCTGGAATGATTTAGTGCAATATGCGTTACGTAATGTATTTATGACACAAACACATGCTTGAAAGATAATTTATTCTCTTATTTAAAGGCATACTGTAGAAGAAAATCGATAATCAATATACTTGGAGATTATTTTTGCTGAAAAGTTATCTTATAGATGTTCCTTGAGAAAAACAACTTCACTTCCAATGTCAAATAACTGTATTTTCCCAGAATTATTAATTATTGCATCATACATTAAATTATACGTTTAGGGAAGTAAATAAAGAAATGTTTAGTTTTACCAAGTAAGAGTGACTCAGTGACACATAAATTACAAAGTCATTTGGCCTCAAAGTAGTCCTTTCCCATGAATCAAAAATGTTAAGTATTGAAAATCGGAAAAAAAAAGTTTTGTTTGCAACTACTGTTTACAGGGTGATGTTTACACAGGAAAAAGTGGCTCGAATGATTTTCATGCGATTTGCTTTTCGCATGAAATTCATGCGAAAATCATACAAAAATCGTGTGAAAAATCACACATGCGAATTTCATGCGAATGTCCTCATATAATATTTATGCGAAATTCATGCGATTTTCATGTGACCATATTTTCGCATGATATTTATGCGAATTTAAATTTATCAGTTTTTCATGTATAAATCGTGTGAAATTCGCATAAATATTTTGCAATATTCGTAGATCATTAGAAAAGCAATGAACAAAGAAATTTATCTTTTCAATGTTTATTTAGGTGTTTCTGCCACAGTGAGGGATAAAAATTGACAGTCTCTGATGATTCTAATGTAATATTGTTTGGATGTTTCTAGTTTGTCCATTGAAATGAATAATGTCTGTGTTTAAAGGCAGTTTTTCAGTCTTTTTTTCAGTCTTGGCTCCTGACAAGCATCTCCTATAAAGAAATTTTATTATAAAATTATATCTTCCCATACTAATATTCCAATTGTTTAGGTCAGTTGGAACCAATTCCTAAATTAGGATGACATGAAATAAAATAAATAATACAATGATATCACTTGACAGGTCCATGTTTTGTCAATTTGTATATCTTAAAGTCTCACACAAGAAGTTAATTTCACTAGTATGTGTTACTATATAGCTTTGATTAATCAATTAAATAGACTCTCAGCAGATAATTCATGAAATAAAAAATAATTCAAAAAATAAATGCTGAGACAAAACTTTAAAATCAGACAAAATATGCCTTATGCGCCTTTTAAGAAAGAAAATTAGGAGTAAACATACCTAGTTTACCTACCCTGAAATTCATGTGGGTTTCAGATGTTGACAAACAGCCTACACACCATCAAGGACTTTGCATCATGTGCACCTAAAAAAAGAGTTCCCTTTTAATTCATGGCACAATTCTGCTAAAGATATGATATTCCTAGTACAGGAGTCCCAATTAAAACTGTAGCCCTAAAAAAAAATTACCAATTTGAAAATTGAAAAAAGAAAGATTGTCTCTCTACATATATTGTTCGACATTTGATTAAGTTCATTTTGATGGTACTGCATGTATAATAAATTATGCTTTGAGCAAAACAAAAGACCCTGTGTTTAGTACTTTCCTTTACTCCATTATAGAGGCATGTGTCAGATATCATATGAAACAGTGTGTTTTAAACCTAGTACATAAATTTGGGTTGCTATAGTAACCAAATGAAATAAAATATTTAATTTTAATTGTGATGGCGAGCGAAGCAAGCATCGTGAAGCGACGCTCGTCACTGTGAGCTCTTACAGCAACTCCTGTGCAAAGAGAAAATTCGGACTACTGCACATTCATTCGATAGATTTTTTTGACGCAGTAATTTGGACCCACAATGAAACACTTGTTAAAGCTACAATCTAAAGTAAACATGCCATGATTTAATGTTATGTATAAGTATTGAAGATAAATAGTAAACGAAATGTTCTTGATTTACTTTCATCACTGTTCAGGCTGAAATCTTTTTGGAAATATGTAACTACATATGACGTCATGTGACGTCAGAGTCTAGACACACCAAATGTCTGATGTGCAGTTTTCCGAGCCCAGTCTCAAATGTATTACAAAATAAATAACCGTTCTCGCCATAACAGCCGTACCGTCAACATTTTATTCTTATTTGATGACAAAGAATTTAACAGACTTATAATACTGAAAAGGTGATTTTTAAAAAAATCTGCATAGAATGATCAGAATTCCTAAATAGTGAAAACCACAGGTACTTGTGGACAGGAACCCCCCCCCCCACCCCCGGGCTTATTTGACATATTTTTCACAATTTATATTTAGTATACTCATTCAACATGTTTGCAGTAGGAACAAATCGTCAAAACCCCAAAATAATTGCTTCACAAAAAAATACCCCACTATACATTATAAGAGAGAAGGTAAGCAACTTCGGTTTGTTTACGTTGTACCCTCACTGGTCTTTCTGGGTTTAAAAACGTATTTATTTCATTTTCACCTAAAATGTCGGTCCACCCTGTCTCTAGATATATTTCTGTCTCAGTCAATGCTATCGAATTGACTCTGCATCTCGTAAGAATCCACAAACAGCATTCCAGTTAGAATGTTGAAATTCCCTTAGGTAAACGCAACGGAAGTGCATAGAGAATGTTACACTTATTACGATAACGTCCGAGAGAGATTTTGCCTGACGTAATAATCACTCTCGGGTGTTATCATTGGTAATAGGCACTTCCGTAGCGTTTACCTAAATGTAAACAAACCGAAGTTGCTTACCTTCTCTCTTATAAGGTATTGTAGTGGGGTATTTTTTTTCAATTTTGTAGAGCGATTATTTTAGGGTTTTGACGATTTGTTCCTATCACAAACATGTTGAATAAGTGTACTAAATATAAATTGTGAAAAAAAAAATGTCAAATAAGTCCCGGGGTTGAATATCGGGGGGGGGGGGGGGGGGGTCCTGTCCACAAGTACCTGTGGTGAAAACATCAAATGAAACAGTTATCTATTTATTTATTTTTTGGCATAGCCCTCAAATCAATCCCCAAGAAGATGGATCTTTAGTAGGACCTCAAGTCCAAAATTATTTTGTGTTTACAAGTCTCCACTCATGTGTCAAAATTATGCACGCAGTATGAGTTAAAATAAAAATCGCTTTTTAAATAGTGTTTACATCTGATGAAAAAAAAATATTTTCAACAGAACAACAATCAGAGAGAGCTAGAAATGCTTACACAATCACTTTTTGAATTACTTACACAAGACTTTGTAAACCCTTCAAATAGGTGTCGCTCAACTGCTCAATTCACCTTGTTGTCATCTCCCTCGGGAGATGACACATTAAGATTGTATGCCGGAAGTGAAGTCCTAGTGTAAGCCTCCATTAATCTTTCGGGAGTCCTCGATGTTTTACAGAGTTCCAAGTAGCCTGTAAACTGGTTTTCTTTTAGAAGAACTAGCTTAGGAGTGTGTGATCTACTTTCGGTTTAGGCCTATTTGAAAGCCAAGGAAAATTTGGAAAAGAAGAACGATGCTTATAAATATCTTTAGTTTCGGTGTGTCGTATATATATTGATCCTCAATACTATGCCTTATTAAATTGGTAAGCCACACAAGGAGAATTGACAATGACGTGATTTCTATATATAGATTTGTTGACGCGAAGGGAAAACTGGTTCTCGCACAATAGAACAAGCTGCAAAAAATGAACGAAGAGTGGTCAACTCTAATTTTAATCTATGTTAATTTTTTAGTCTGTAATTGGATTTATTAAATTAATTCCTGTCAAACTTTAATGATTAGCGGCTTTTAAATGAATGATAAGTATTGTTGATAATTCCATATTGTGTTAAGAAAATATAGTTAAAGGAAAGTAAATTGTAAACACCCAGAAGCACAAATACCGCTAGAATGAAATTTCACCAAAAATCGCCTTGGGTGCTCTCGCAGACGTCCATGCTTTCCATATATATATACTGCGGCCAAATTAAACTGCGTACTTTACTGTGGAGTTTGCTGAATAAGTCATTTGGGAACTTCAGGTGTAATAATCCATATATTCATTGCATTAAAATATTTCCCTTTCTGTATTATTTCTTTGACATTATTGATACCAAAGAGATGACATTTCAGGCTTTCTGGAAAGCCAAACTTGTCGTGTTACGTACATGTAGAACCTGAATTAAAAACAAGATCCGAATTTACTCTGAAAATTTTCGTTGCAAATTGAATATCAATAAATAATTGCATTACAAACACAAAATATGGCAAACGATTTAAAAAGCATTCATTTTTACCTTTCTTTCAAGGATTAGAGCGCAATCAGCCAAAAGGAAAGTCTGGAACAAGCCACACGAGGTTCTTTCGCTGACTTGTTTTTTTTTCCTGTAACAGGAAGTGCAAGTAGAACCTGGCTTATTCGGCTTGTCGGTTTCGTATTCGTCACAGAATCAGAAAATACCTTATAAATTTAATTTTCATTCAATTTTGTTTTATCTTGAAAATCTGTTTCCGTGTTGAAGTCAAACGTTGATGACAACGGTTATAAAATTTACGTTACTGAACCAAAGGTAGTTTTACTATGGAATGCCGTACGTCACGTATTACGTCATCATGCGGCTGCGAAAGCAGACAAGAAAGAGCAGAACGACTGCATATTTTCTGTAAGTTTATATTTCATCTTGAATCTTCTACTTTTTATACCAGATAGATGTAATAACTTTCTTTGGAATATTTGTTGACAACTTAAATAATAGATCCAGGTAGATAACGTTATGCTGGTGTGTTGAAAGATGGACCTGGCAAAGGCTCTCTGCATTCTTTATATATCATCACGATACTATTGTAAAGGCTTAGCATAGGCTTAGTGAACTAGGATGGGTCTAATGTTTTTGTTTTTTTTAAATACTGTTGCACTTGAGTGTCTGAAACATGTGAAATGTAAAATGCAGCAAGCCATATTACACAACACTGCAAAGATTTTCAAGGTTTTCCATTGAGGTAATTTAAAAGCAAGAGTTCCCCCATGACCACCATGTTGTAGGGCAACATTCCCAGATCCCTTCATTATTCAACCAACTGTCCAAGTTCAATTTGTTATACTGGTTACTGAGGTAAAGTTAACACAATTTTTCTTTTGAAAATACGTTTGTTAAAGCCTCTGTTAATTCATAATCTTGAGAATGTAAATATTTTCCTCCATATAATATTTCTGGCATGTATGTTTAAAATTGGTTGCTTAAAGAGGAAAATTCACTGCTTTGCCCTACAAGTTGGCAGCTTAGTGGAATAACTCCTAGTCAAAATATGTCAAAGAAGTAGGTAAAGGATATGCCTGGTAAAGATCTCATGAAAAGAGCTGCTTTTTTTTTTAATAAATATCAGCTGTTAAAGCCATTAGGTATTTCACTTGTGTACATGTACATTCAAAAATATATGCTGATCGATACAAAGAATTAAGCTTAGTTATCATGGTAGTACGTACATTATATAATAGGCGTATCAAGAAGGCAAGACAGGAGTATCAGGGGCGGATCCAGGATTTGAAGTTGAGGGGGGGGGGGGTGGGGGCGCAAGAGTTTAGGCAGGGGGTCTGGTTGCCGCCTTGAGGCCCCCAGTGGGTCCAGACCAAAGCCCTGGTAGGGGTCCTGGGGGCAAAGCCCCGGAAGTTCATGGATTCTAGAGGTTTTGCAGGGAAAAATGAGGTCTTAACTGAGTAGACATTTTAAACATTTTCTCGACAAAACTATGTTTTATGCTAACTTTGACAATTTTAAGTTAAATTATAGTTAACTTTGTTAATTCATAGAATACTTGTGACTTGTGTAATAAAATGTTATAGAGATTATGAACAAATTGTTTTTGAACTGACATTTTTGAGTTTCTCTGTAGGCACAGTTAAAATGTCAATCATCACAAGATCAAACTTCAAGTACCAGAGTAACCCAGTATTTAATCATCCTGATTTGACAAAAGACTACATGTAAGTAATTTGGATGAATATTTTAATTAATTTGGACACTTTAATCTTAACAATTATGTCTAAGCTGCACATATTTAATTTTTCCCATCTAAACCAGAGTTCAATATTACAGAGAACAGTCTAGAGGTGGAAACTGATAGATCATTTGAAGAGGATCCTGTTAAAGCAGTCATAAATATATGTTTCACAAAACAATTAACACCTAATGTTACAGCATATCTTGAACAGCTTAGAACAGGTATTTGTTACTTTCACTCAGTCAGAATTGTTTGAAAACTCTAACAATACACAACTTGTAAGCTAAACTCCTAAGTTCAATATTACAGAAAACAGTCTGGAGGTGGAAACTGATGGATCACTTGAAGAGGAAACTGTTAAAGCACAGAGACATGTACCAAGGAACAACAAGACATGATTGTTGCAGCAATGTTGAACAGCCTGGTATAGGTATTTGTCACTATATTTAAGGTCTAAAGAGTACAAATGTATTCACATAGTTTTAGGTCATCTCAAGTAAACTCAAGTTCAGGGTTTTGGTGTTAGGGCGGGGCTCTAATGAATGATTAAAGTAAAAAATGCATGAATTCCTCGAAAACCTTTTCCTTTGCTCCTGATTATTATGTCAGTGTTCTAATTAAGTACATATTAATGTTGATGAAAGGTGCCTTTTCCAAAATGGTTAGTTTCAGATCCCCTAGGTCAGGGTACTTGGGATTGGGGTGGAATTACATAGTCTGAAAATAAATTAATGCTTTGAAATTTTCTTTTTGGTAATAATCAACCATTTATGTTGAAATAAATTTTATGATAAAATTTCCAGAATTTTGAAATATGTGCCCCCAGGGTCAGTGGTTCCTGTGGGGTAGAGTGCACAACTGGTTAAAAAGTGGAAATACATTTTTTCTTTGTTACCTGATCTAACTCTGGGTATTAAGTAACTAAAGTAAGCAAGCTAAGTATATAGTTATAACTTATAAGCAATAGTGCCTCTTTCAAAATTTTGAATTTAATGGCCTTTGATTTAAAACATGAACCAATTCAATTGTTGGACAGTTGTTACATGATACTCAGGTGACCCGTAAGACCCACGGGCCTCTTGTTTTAAATCACAATTCTATAATGGAAACATTTAGATAGACAAGAATTGTTTGTGACTAAAAGGTCTAGAGGACTATATCCCAACTCTAACATAGGGTAATTGACATATAGATATCATGATATGCTTTTAAAATATAAAATAATAACTTTCATGAAGATATATTCTAAATAAAAAGGCTGCTTTACTATCACCAGAGGCCGTGAAATAACTCTGCCTGCTGTTCATGTAAGCAGTGTCAAATCAGTCACATTTTGATTGAATTTTAAATTCTTGGCCATAACATAATAACTTATAATTGTAAAAGTAAGATCTAGATCTCAATATACTGTCCTAATGGTTGATTATAATTATTATTAGATACATTGTATTAAATTTCCAAAACAGAGGTCATAAGGCAAGGTCAAGTTTGCAGAATTTATAGAAATTTCACTAAAAAGTACAACTTTTTATATGATAGCATGAAGAGAACATTATCTTACTTGACATACAGCTGATCATGGCCAAGAAATATCAATCCTACTAAAGGGCATTTAGAGCATATATTTAAATCAGAAAATTTATTGTCCATTTTGCATTTTAATATAACCTTATAGAATGTTTACCATTTGTATTTTCAGTGTTTACTAACAACACCACCTCAACAGAACTTCAAGATAAAGAAATTTTATGTGATGAAAACCTCAATAAAGAAGATAGAAAAAGATCAATGGTTTTAGTTTTCAATGTAGAAGTTGATGTCACAAATGTCTTTACTTAGTCAAGGAATGCAGAAACAAGTTTTGATTCTTTAAAATTGAAAGTGATTTTTTGTATAATCATTCCTTTCTTGTACCTGGATTAATTGACTAAGTAAGAAAAAAGAGGAGATATTAAATTCATGGAATTATCCATGAAAAAAAATCATTAGCAGGAACTGCTAAGAAGCAAAAATTGTTTTTCAAAGAATTCGAAGGATAGAATTAAATGGATTGAGTTTTGGGGCACTCAAAAATATGTTTGATATCAATTTCTAGGGTCCAAAAAATATGCTTGTCGTCGCATGATATTCATATGAAACCTGGGTTCTTTTTTCGCACGAATATCATGCGATTTTCTTTTCGCATGATATTCGTGCGAATTTCATGTAAAAATCACATGATATTTTTATGCGAATATCATGCGAGTTGTTTTTCGTCTCCTTTTCGTGCGAAGAATTCGCATGATATTCGTGCGAATTTCATATGAAAATCATGCGAGCCACTTTTCCCTGTGTACCCCCCGTTATATTTTCGCCCCTTTCACCCTACTCTTATATGGGCGAATTGCAAACGCCGTAAATTTAAATAATATATCATAATGTCTTAAACAAAACGATAAATTGACGAATTTGAAATGGGTAAAATTATTTGCAAGTATGTTCGAGCGAAAATATCATGGGGCAAAAAATAAATCTGTGTATAACAATTCTTTGTATGTTTTTTCCCCGTCACATTCTATCACTGAGGCAAAGTTATATCAAAATACAATTGAAAGACGTCAAATTTTGGACTTAAGCTCGGTTCTAACAATTAATGATCAATGCTTAATTATAAAACACCTACTCTGACACGGTAACTTGTTATTAAGCTGAACACGACTCGTAAATATGCATGCGCCATTTTCGATGTTAATATTTCCGATATCACGGGGATATAAAGGTCCCCTTGTATTCTTAAACCTGGCTGCTTTGCTGTCACGGGTATCGACATTGAATGCTGACCTGTGTTCCTGCTGGTTATCTTGCATTACTTTAATTACTTTAAACTGTTTTATTGCAGTTGCATGCATTTTTGTTTGAATACTGCACTGACCTTTGAAACTGTTGAAAGTCTACTTGTTAATTTGCTTTACTAATGACTGTTAATTTACTTTCCTGTATTAGAAGTAAAGCTATTTTAGTCGATACGTTCGTCTACACCAGTGAGATTAATTACACTGAACAGTGACTAAGTGAGAAGCTCTATATATTGGGTCATGTTGATATGGAGAGAGACCAATCGAATATGACTGACTCTTCAATTTACTAATCGTGTTCAGCTCCAAGGCTCATGTGAAAAGCCTGTTATTTTAAATTTAGTGCCTGTGCTTGGCAAAGAGCACTCAATACCCATGTTTAAGTTTTTCATATTGACTTGCCGGTTCCAAGCGAAAATCAGGTACAGTTTTAAACTAATCAAACGCCCTACCTCGAGGCTGCATTTATCTGGGCATAATGGCACTGAAGCCAGCATGATTTAGCAGTGTATCCTTGACTTGTCCTTGTCCTTTCATCTTTTCTGGAACCACTTCCGTTCCCATGTGGCTACAAATTGTACTCACACGATGAAGTTTACTGTTTATTGGCAGGCCATACTGGAATCAATGTTCATTTAGGGTAATGAATTGTAACATAACTGTCGTCTGCTTAATGCTAAAATATGCTCGGGTGCAAAAACATTTTTTCTCTGTGGTTTTGAAGTACCTATTAGTATTTTTTCTCGGGTTCAAAACCAATTTTTCAACTTCGTTTTGATATTTCTTAAAAATGAATACGAGGATTCAAAATTAAGGTCTTTAGAATTAGTTTAACAAAAGAGAAGGAATTATATTTTTTTCAGTATTTTATGCAAACTTGACTGATCATTTTTCCATCAGCGAATTTAAATGGCTGTTGACATTTTTTTATTCATTCTTATCATCTGCTGACTAAAATGTAGATACCTGCCTTACATAAATAGTGGAAAGGATATGTGCATTTATGTTGCCGGACAATAAAAACCTGTTTTTAATACAATTAAAAATATATTTCAATTGCCTTTAGCAAGTTATTATTTTTTTTTATTTCCCAGGTTTCCATTTCATGCTTTTTTTTTTGTTCCCTGCTGTAGGCTCTGTCGTATTCATTCAAATATCAGTGCAAAGATGTATAAACACCGTTATCAGTAAGAAATAAAACAGATATTCAATTAAAGTATTGCATTTATTTTTCATAATATCTATAAATTAAAAGAAAAATAAAAACATTGAGTTTCCCTCAAATGTATAAAATGAAAAAAATACATGTTAGTTGTTATCGTGAATTCAGATCGTTAGCAATTTAAATTTTATATCCTGGTTTCACATTCCTCTATCTCTTCCCTGTATTTCATATGATATTTGCCCAAAGTCAAGTTCCCAGAAGAGCAAAAAACGCACGACATTGCACGTACACACATTGATTTATAGAAAACCATTGGCAAAAGGATTTCATCATTTGTATTTGTTAAGAGCTAATCCTCTGTTATTTTTAGAAGAAATGTTTGCACTCTTGCACTTTGAGCGTAATGTGTATAATTGGTATCTGCGAGTCTGTGTAAACCACCTAAAGATGCATTGGGGATAGATAAAAAGTATTTTTTCTTTCAGTTATAAGTTAAACATTGATTAAATTACACGCAATAGTTTGATGATGGTTTTATTGAGGATATCATGATTTACCTATGAAAAGGGTTTGGGTCGAGTTCCTTTGCATCCAAATTCCAGGCATTTCTTTTTCAATCTTTATCAAATGTTTATGCCCCCCCCCCCAAAAAAAAAAGATGTCATCGTTATAACTTTGTATTTAAAGCTCTTGTTATGATTTGTGTATACATTTACGCATTGAAATGACAATGAGCATTATCTTAAAAAAAGATAATGCATACTCCTTTGCAACTTTGAGAAGAAATTAAAGTTTAATGCACATGTTGAATTGTTTATATCCACGAAAGACTTGCACAGGTGTTCAGTACTATTTACTACATAAACGGGGCATGATAGGTATTTGAAGCAGTATGTTTTTCATGCAGGTACACATTTTCACACTACAATTTATACGTGAGATATACGTCACTTTTAGTGTGTATTTATAGCCAGATTATTGAATTATAATGCCCAATAAATTACCATATGTATGTATAAGCAAAAGAAATTTAAATATTCAACTATATTTTTAATTATATGAAAAGTATACTAGAATATAAATATTTTCTGTGAATATATTTGCATACATTAAGCATTATATACATGTATAATATAAATCGTAGTATGTGTCATAAAAACACACACAAAAAAAAACAAATAGTTTTTTCCCAATGTTTGATTGTATAAAAGATATGCTTCTTTATGTTTATATATGCATGTGTTGTACTTTTATATCTTGTGTTAATATTACATGTAAGATGTTAATTTTGTATATCCTTATGTGGTTGTAAATATGTTTTAATGCAGGACCACAATGAAAACTAGCTTTATGCTAATTGTGTTATCCTGGATAAATAAAGGCTATTATTACTATTATTATCATTAAAAAGTTTTAAACATGAAACATATTTAATATATACATTTATGAAGTGCGGATTGTTCCTTTTAACACGTTAAAATGTCTGCTATATTTTCCTGACTTTTTTCCAGACCCTCCCTCTTGTTGTAGTCGTTGGATTAGGCACCGCCCTTTCTGCTACTTACACAGCATACTGTCTTTATACAAGTCCAGATATCAGGTGAATGTTCTCTACTTTTATGTCAGAATTAATAGTTTGAATAAATCCGTACCTTCGTTTTAAAAGACCCCCCCCCAAAAAAAAAATAAAGTTGTTTTGGTCGGATGTCGACTTGTAAGTTATTTATTTCGACTTGCCAGATGTTTATTTTGACTTTTATGTCGATGTTTATGTAGAATTGTTAATTTTTCAATGTTAATATAATGCAAGAAAGGTTTGTTAAAATTGATCAAAACTAAATAAAGAAAATACGTATTTAGATTTTAATTGTAAAAAAAAAGTGTAAATGTTACCTCAACATACTGGTTAAGATTCCCTAACATCTATTTTGTGTAAATCTTTTGGGAATATGCAACCCATGATATCATTATATTTCTCTTGATTAAAAGCTATATTACAGAGACTTTCTTTTATTTCAGACTGTGGAGACGACAGCGTTTACCCCGCTAAAAGTAAAACTGTAAGTAAAGGTTAAGATATAGCGTTATGCTTATATTAATATCGCAACTGTAAGTTAGCGTTTGCTTAAGATTAATAGAGAAAGGGGTTGATTCTTATACATCGCTTGTTTGAATGAACTGTAAAACGTTGGGTCCCGGTATAGGGTTATATTTTCAGTTAGATCTTGGAGTTATATCCAAGACACGATGTAGTTACGATATCGACACATTACGTTTTTATAGTTTACTAAAATATTTCTCAATCCTTGTGTGTGTGTTTATTACAATACTTTCTGTTTTACGAAGTCTTCCTTGCTGTCAATATCAACGATATAGTGTCGATATCGAATCATGATTGTTTAAAGAATTATGGTTCCCATCTATAATACTAGCATTGTGTTTTTAACACGTGTTACTTGAAAGCTATCTTTTATAAAACTTTCCCTGTGGTGTCGATATCGTCGATATCGACGATATCGCTTCGATATCGAATCATGTTTGCTTAGCCCTTTGTAAATACCGTCCCTGTTACTTTGTATGTGGATTTATGTTTTATTACTTTACATTTACGAAGATTGTACCTGTTAACGATATCGTCGATATCGATGATATCGTATTGATATCTAATCATAATTGTTAAAACATATTACTTTTCCAACCTTTACTCTAATACAAAAACTTTATTTTTAAAATATCCCATGACACTAAGTTCTGTGTTTCTTCATGCAACTCTTGTGCATATTTACTATTTACTATATTTAATAAGTTTACCCTACTGTCGATATCGTCGATATCGAAGATATCGTATCGATATTGAATCATGATTTAAACAAACATATTTTAACAAATTTCACCCTCACCCAACACTTGAACCTAATCCACAACAATAACAACCACTAACCCTTTCCTTATCATAATTTAATTTCATATTCATGCTAATAATGAATGAATATGACATCACTAGTAACCTTGTAAAATTATTTTGTACCCTACTGTGAAAATAAAATCTAAAAATAGGATCTATATATATACGATATCTTCATGATATTGTCGATATCGACGACATCGACAAAGCACAAAGTCTCATATATAGTACCAAGTATTTCAAATTAATAGTGCTAATCACGATCGATATCAATACAATATCGACATCAAATTCGTTCTTGGATATGTATGGAGATATGGGATCTTGCATTATTTTCAATCCTAAAATAGTATAAAAGAAATACATTTTTACTAAAATAGGATGATTAGTTGGATGTTATCATCCATATAAAGGAGACAGATATGAAATAATAAAATGCATGTACTTGTATGTTATCAATATTTGCACACTGACTTTATTTGGTTTTCTGATTCCCCAATTAAAACAAACAGAGCATGGCAAACATGATCAATCAACGGGGAAGCTTACTTCTCAATGACACTTCATTCAATCTCATTACAGTCGTTGTCTTTAGCTCTCTTTATTGTTTGAGTTTTTAAATGTGCTTTTTGAATTAATTACTACTTTTTACTTCCTTTCGTTATTTTTCCTTTTAAGTGTTATGCGGAAGAAATTTAATTTATATAACATGTATATATCTTATTTTGTATGACATTTTATGTACAGTTTATTATATTACTATTTGGACTTACAGGTTTGGACAGTAAAGCCTTTGACACAAAGAACTGGACCGGCCAAGGACATGGAAGTTCTAGCTCACAAAGCCATAGGACCACACCAATATTTATATGGCACCGAACGTCAGAACTAGACAACACACTATATAAGGGCTACTTAGTGATTATATTGTAGTGATATTGGTCTTTCGTTTCATAACGTTATAGTTGGCTTGTAAAGCAACAGTTCTTTTTTGAAATGAAATCAGCAGACATATCTTCTGTAGTCATATTTTTCGCATGTACTTATATAGGTGCTGAAATGTTTTGTGGAATTCTACAAAATTGAACGTTCATATTTGCTTCATTTGAAATCAAAATTGTCTTTTTTAATTTATCAAAATATATATTTCAATTCATTCATATGTAGATTTCTTTCAAAATTGTTATGAAGAACATTCTTCTTTAAAGTTGAAGGTTTATTTTTTTCATTGGAAGTTGTATGTCATATTAACTTTGACTCTTCGTCTTGCAAAACAAGGGTTAAAAAATCACCCTTTCAATTAGAAAAAGGGAAATAAATCAGATTAAATACCACTAAAGTATGTTCTTTCTTATCTGCACCTGTGTGACTTAACAATTGTAGCCCTTCGATTATTTTAAATTTATTTTCCTGTTTCATAAATTTAATGGTAAGTTAAAGAGGGTATCCGGTAATAATCAATTATCCAATAAATGAAATCATTTTTTTCCTTCCTTAACGTCATATTGAAAATAGTACAAATTCTATGCATGTTTATTATTATGATCAAATCAATTGTTTCTTTTTTTTATTTCAGAAGCATAGCCTTTGAATTTAACGGGCCTTGAAATAATACTTTATATTACAAATACAACAGATTATATATGTATGAAATGTTTTATGGAAATATATATATTATAATGTTTCTTGGTGTTGAGTATGTTCGTGGAGCTTTTATTTATCTAAATAAATTTTAAAAAAAATATCTTGATTTGTATCTATATCTTTTCAACATATAGTTTCTTTCTTAAAAGAAATGAAGATAGCACAAATATGTTGATTGTTTATGTGTTATAGAAATCTAAAATTCTCATCTAACCAGATTAAATTTCATTCTGACATTTTACTGTTCCCATATGCAAAAGATTTTTCTATTGATTTTGTCAATAAGCAATGTAGTTACACAGAATTGATATGCAGACATATAAAAAAAATAACAGGTTTTTTGACATTCAAATATGGTAAATTTCGAAAAAAATGTTTTTAAAAAATACACATCAATTATATCCAACATGTGGTGCACGCTATTTTTCTTTCTTTGTATGAAGAAAAAAAATGTTTTTAAAATCTCTCATAAGGTTCTTTGATTTTATGTTCATCACTTTTTTTTAAACCTGTTTAAAGTCGGAGATACCCAAGTGATATTACACAAATTTGCACGTATAAAAGTAATTTAATTTCAAATTTGCAGTAAAAGATATCACATTGTATCGTTGTTTTAACTTGTTTAAATGGCTTCCAAGGAATTTAGGTCAATACTTGCCTAAATTAAGAGTTTAAATAGCACAGGTAAAGATGCATATCATTCAAATGTATCAAATTCTTTCAGTTTAAGGAGTTGAAAGATTAAAATAGGGTTTGAGAAAATAAATTTTATTATACGTTAGAACTAAAGAAAATGTTACATTTTAAGTACTGTAGATTCCTAATTATACGCGGGGAATTAATTTAGGCGTAATTTTGCGAGAAGCATCAATCGCGAAATAATATAACTCGCTTTTATTTTTGCTACAAGAAGCAAACGTCGGGTTTGACCGGTCGGCAGGAGATGCTTACTCCTCCTTGGCACCTGAACCCATCTCTGATGTTTTGGAGGGCTGCATTTCTTCTGCTCTTTTTTTGTATTGTTTCATGGACTTTTAAGCTAAATGGTTATCTTCAAATATTTCATTCAAGGTTTACAGTGTGCAAGCCAACGATATATAAATTTTTTCAGCTTCACGACATATGTTTGACACTTTTGCCCCAAAATCGTTATCTCCCTGCCCTAAAGGTTCAGATTAATAGCTACACCCATTCTAAGGTCAAAAGTATGACCCGGTATATATCAATCAATATAAAAAATATGCCTGACTTTCTAGCATCGTTTGTCTTCTCTTGTGAATCATTCCGATAAGTAACATGTTTTTCAGAGGGTTGTTTATCTCATAATAAATTTTGTTAATTTTTTTTTTCAATCAGCTTCACACAAACCAGGCATGATCTGCATTCAGGAAGAAGAATTATTTTATGCTTGTCTACATAACTCATTTAATTATATATATTAAAACACGCTTATAACGAAGTACACAAGACGTAGGATTTTTTTTTCGTTATAAACGTAATTTCTTACTTGTATTTCCGTTAGTCTAACAACATAATAAAAAAACAAAACTCGCTTAATACATGTAAGTAATATTGAATTTTTAATACATAAACTTATTGCATAAAACTGATCTCTTCGTTTATCATGAGAGGTTTTTCTCAAGAATGAAATAAAATAGACTAAAAATGATAAATTAAAATTTAATGGTTAAGATATCAAAGTGACTTGAATTTGCAGAAATAAGTAAAGAATTTGAAATTCTTATTTAAAATTTCAATACTTTTCTTTAGACATAGAGTAAAATATATTAACAAACCAACAGAGGGAATCAGAGGCATTATACATTACACATACAAAACTATTTCAAAATAAACTTCGGGTAATTCGATATTATTATGTAATATGTCGTATAACAATAATTTAAACATGTCATATCAATATCACGTTATCTGTCTGTATGACGGAATAAGCAGACAGATCTTCCATTCCAAATAATTTTTTGTTATAAATTAATTCAATTTTATCTTTTATCTTTTAGTATCTTCAAAATACAGTTACTGTAACAGTATAACATTTTTGCTGACTCTATGTTTTGGCATTAATTTTAAAATAACATAAGACAGAGACTTAAAAAGATATATCCTTTGATTAGAAAAAAAAAACATAAAAAAAATTCATATTTGTAAATGTCGGAGAAATGGCAAAGAAGCATTAAAAGTGATGTTAAATGTCCGTTAGCCTTATGTTTTGAAACAGTGATGGGAATTCTAAAAAATTTCGCAGCATTAACTTGGAGCAAATAAAGGGACATTGATGAAACACACGTTTGTGAATTCAGGCTAGTAAATTTCAGGAAATAACCTATTGCTTACTCAAAATTAAGATTACGATTCATGACCTTAATTTTTAACATTGTTATAGTCATAAGAAGTAAATAATTTAACTATGATCATCTTTCAAGTTGCTCAAATAAAAACACCGTATTTCAGTGCAACTTTATCTGCATGACTGGAAAATGTGATTGATTTGACATTTCTTCTGTATAGAAGGTTGAAACGTTAACCTTTCATACGTTCCTCTGCATTACCCAAAGATGCTAATGATCGGAATCGAGATCTTGCCGTTAGCGATAATAATTGATGAAATATGAATCCCTGTTTAATTCATCGAAGCTCTGTATCTTTTACGCTGTCAATTCTTGATTATCAGAGTTGACCATTTACATGTATCAAAATGGCACAGAAGTATACATTCTTTAATTTATCAGTGTAACCTTGAAAGACCTTGTCTGTTCATCTTCCCAATATAAGTAGAATAAAGATGCAACATGCAATGCCTTATTACCATATTGTAAGTCGCATTTAGTCTTCAAGATATTACATTGAATTGTGGTGGCCAATTCTGAAAAGGGTTCATAAAATATTTTCTGTTCAGCTGCTGAATGCACAAGAAAATTTTGATATATTGCAGCATTGCGTTTAGTTTGGCAGATATTTTATCTAAACGTTAACCATCTTCATATAATTAACAAACTGGTTGGAAATCTGTTACAAATATGGCTGAGTTTGGATCTCTGTATGAGTTGGCGTTTTGTTTGTTGTTAATTTTGTATCATTACCGAGCTGGGCTAGTTGACCGATTTCTCAATCTACATTGTATGATCTAGCTTCTGATGGATCCAATATTTGTTGATATTAGGTTTTATTTTTCTTAAACGAATTTGCAGGATAACATCTAATTATTTTGTTACTAACATTATGGTTAAATTAGAAAGGAGTTGTATTGAGAGTTACAGTTTCTTAACCCCTTTTTTGTTCTACAGATAAAATGTTAAAATCATTTAAATCCAACACTTAAAAAAATCACTTGAATATGTTGAGCCTATAATAAAACAAGTGAATAAGTACTGCATTAAAATATAATAAAAGTTTTATTTAAAACAAACGTGTTGTACAAATACAAATTAAACTACAAAGACTATTGAATATCCCTCTGATCCACCAAAGTTTAAATTTCGCACGTTCAAACATCGCTAGATATACTGGTATTAAATTATCTAATTTATATCCGGGTTTATGGATCGTCTGGCCCTGATATTCTGACTCGCAAAATTATGTAACAAGATATATGACCAATGTCTAATTCTCAGGAGAACAAAAACGTACCACACTGCACGTACACAAATATAAGATTTCATCATTCTGATATGTGAAGAGCCTATCCGCTGTTTAATTAAAGATAAAGTGTTCGTCCGCGTGCACTTGTAGCGCAGTGTACTTTTGGCAGGTTCGAGGTAATTTAATCTGCTAACGATATCCAATAAGGAACAAGGAACAAGGAACCAATAAATTGTCACTCCAATGAAGTAACTGAACTTTTAAACAATCTTTTATTATTATTTTAATTATTTTTTTTTACCACGATCAAAGTATCATTAATGAAGTGTAACCAACGTTTGTTCTATACGGTAACCTTGTTTTTCTAAAAAAAAATATATACATAGGTTGAGTATCCTGTATTAGTTTTCCGATAATTTTAATACATATGTATTTGTTAACGCGCCGCCTCAAACATATCAATAATTCATAATTGATTTAATTTAAAGGGTGATATTTTATGTAACATTTGTACGTAAAGCTAGATACCAGGAAGGAAACGATTTGCTTTCCTAGAACCATAAATGTTGTTGATTTGAATTCTTATTCCACTTTAATCTTGTGTACATGTCTCCCGGTTAAAAAAAAGAGAAAAAAATGCATGTTTGCTCGTGATGTTGTTGTAATTTTCACTTTATTTACCAATTTAATGTTTTCGTCACTTAGCGTCAATCCAAAATCGAAAAACCAATTTTTGAAACCAATGCTTGGGTAACACATTATATGTAAAATGCTAAGTTCTGGTGATTACCTCCCAACCCAACCCCATCTTCCCAAAATACTTTATATTCGTCTGTAAAAAAAAACTAAACAACATCCACATAATTTTCAACACAACAATAAAATATTTCTTAATATATTAAATTAAGCAAAAATAAATAAATAAATAAATAAAATGAAAATATTTTTTTTAATAATTGGAAATTGTAGCGTGATTATGCTGTAGTTCGTTGCCATGGCAACTAAAATGATTTCTCTATAATTATTTCCAGAAACTATGTAATAACTGCTTTCAGAGTATTTATACATTTGTATATACAAAAAATACAAGAAATGTCCCAAAATGCATTGAAGTCTTAAATTTCAATTTGTCTAGGATAGCTTAAAATCCATGCCATGGAAGGTAAAAAATAAATGTACAGTTTGCTCTTAGTCACTTTTATACCATGTACATTTATAGGGGGAGTTTTGTTCAAACTAACGGCGTCTGTTCCCGCAATTGGAATTTACAAAGGTCCATGTTTTGTATTTTTCTAGTTTTTCTAGATCAATTATTTTTTTTATCTTCCCCTGAATAAAAATTTCCGATAACACGTTAAACAAATTAGACTCTCTAAAAAAAAATTCCGGACATTAACTATAATACCTGCATTAATATGTGAAAGTGCATTTAGGAAATTCAATAAAATTATGCAATCTATTCAATAGCACGATTAATCGTCTGGTGTGTC